AATTATTCAACGTGTGTGTATACATTTTTGGGATACCCTATATATAAATAATACTATTGTAGCAAAGTTAAATTCCTTGGTTATTATTAATGGATTTTTATTATATAGCATGCAAGTTACCAACTTAGAAATTTGGGGATGAAGTGCCACAATGTCTGCAACCTATTTAAAAGTGGTTCAACTTACTTGCAAGAAAAAGAGATATTAAAAGTGGCAAATGCAACATAATTTGATGAACAAGAATAGATCCAGAGACAAATGGAAGGGGAGGGGGAGAGGTTAGAGAGCAACCAAAGGACTTGTATGCATGCATATTAGCATAACCAATGGACACAGACACTGGGGTGGTGGGGGCTTGCCCAGGGTGGGAATGGTTGGGAGGGTCAATTGGGGAAAAAGGAGACATATGTAAAACTTTAGACAATAAAAAAAAATTTAAAAAGTGGCAAATGCTAAAAAGTAAAATACAATATAACAATACAAAATAATGTAAGATAAAATCTAACTTTTTAAAACAAGAAGATTCAAGAACAAAGACTGGGTTTTATTTAATATAAGTTATGTATGATTGGCTACAGGGAACAGTTGGGTGAGACTCCTGGGAAATTCGATTAAAGGGAATATTTGGGGGGAATTGTCACTGTTGTCTTTTTTGCACTTTGTCCTTCTTCCTTCCTCCTTCATCATTCTCAGAAGACAGACTTCAGCCCAGACAGTGTGGCTCAATGGTTGAGTGTCAACCTATGAACCAGGAGGTCACGGTTCAATTCCCAGTCAGGGCACATGCCCAGGCTACAGGCTCGATTCTCAGTGTGAGGCGTGCAGGAGGCAGCCAAACAATGATTCTCTCTCATCATTGATGCTTCTATCTCTCTCTCCCTCTCTGAAATCAATAAAAAAATTATTTTTTTAAAAAAGAAGACAGACTTCATAGCAGGAGCTAGAGTGAGGAAGTTATTGTACAACCAAGAGAGAAAGACTAAGAGAAGCTCCATGATCTTGGGCATGACATCCCTGACCTTCCAACCACTAGCAGCATCACCTGCTCTGGCCTACTCTCTCTGTGAAAAAAATAAACTCCTGTGACAGAGGTTCCCAAATGTTCTCAGTTCATGGCATTCTTAATGTCTGTGATTTTCTTCATGGTGCCCCTAGGCCAAAAGGAACACCTAACACCTATTTATTAAGTAGTTAGTCAACAACTTAATAGTATTTGTGTGCTCACAACTTGTTAACTGTTTGGAAAAAATACTACACATAAATTAAAAATAAAAATATTTTTATTTCATTGTTAACCACAATTATAATGAGATGTGTTCCAATTGTGCCCCCTACTACTTCTCAAGCCTTAGAATCAGATCGGATTCCACCACCTTCATCTCCTATTCCAGATTGTCCTTCCTAAAATGAGTGGGCCTCATCCAATCAGTTGAAGGACTGAATAGAACAAAAGCTTGACCCTACACCAAGTATGAGAGAATTCTTTCCTGAATAACTAGCTGTGAACTGGAGCATTGGCTTTTTCCTGCCTTTGGATTGAAATTAAAACATCATTAATGGATCTCAAGTCTGCTGGCCTTCTGGAGGGAACTACATCATTACCTCTCCTAGTTCTAGCCCTTCAGACTTGGACTACAACTAAACCTTCAGCTCTCCCAAGCCTCCAGCTGGCAGACTCATCCTGTAGATCTTGGGACCAGTCAGCCTCTATAATCACATGAGCAAGTATATCTTGTTAAATAAATCATGTGAGCAAGTATATCTTTTTATATGTCATTTTAGATGGATAGATAATACATATATTCTATTTCAGACATATAGTTATACCACCTATTGGTTCTGTTTCTCTAGAGAACCCTAACTAATACACCCCACAAAGTAACAGGTTATTTGGTACTTATTCCTCTGGGTCATGGCATCCTATCTAATAAAAGGGTAATATGCAAATTAACCATCACTCTGTCACAAAGATGGCAGTGCCCAGTCCTCTAAGCCCCGCCTCCCCCTGGAGTCCCTCAGTCCCGGGGGGAGGGGGACAGCCACTGAGAGCAGGCCAGCACAGCGTGAGTGGCCTGGCAGAACGCTTGCTTCGTCGCCGCGCCCAGCTCGGGCCAGCCTCCCTGACCAGAGCGGACACAGACAGGGTCAGGGGGCCAGCCCGCAGCCTCCGTGGCCGAGCGCAGGCCTGGAGAGGAGAGAGCAGGCCCGCCTCCTGCAGAAGCAGCACGGGTCCCTCCCAGCTCCCACGGAATGAACGCGGGTCCCTCCCGCCTCCTGTGGAAGCAGCACAGAAGCGGCGGGCGGCCTACTGCACATGATATCGCGCGATGGGCTACTAGTAGTTAATAATCCATGAAAAGGCAACAACAAAGCCAGGGAGACATGTTAACCTCAAGCTTATTACCTTACTCCCAAGGTTAAAACCCTTCCACAGCTCATCAGTGTCCTCAAGACACATCTAACTTCATTCGTGTATCAACCATGACCCATCATCTGGCTTCTGCTTATTTTTCTCAGTCTTATCTCTTATCATAGTCTTTGTCCCCTCCAATATGGATCCAAGTGAAAGTCCATAAAATGCACATGATCTCTCCCCTCCAGGTTTTGAGTATGCTTTTCTCCCTACCCAGAATAACTTCCAGACAGCCCTCTCACATGCACACGTGCACACACATACTTACAGTCATAGGACATACACATTGCAAGACTAGCTCCTTATCCTTCAAGTGTCTGACTAGAAATCTCACTCTCCTCCCAGATCCACTTATCAAGCACTAGCTGGGAACCCTTCCAAATGTTATCATACAACCCTGAGTGTATCCCTGTCAGAGCCCTAAATGTGCTTTAACTGTCCATTCATTTGTCTGAATTCAACTCCTTGAAGGCCATAACTATGTATTACTGGCTATTGTATCCCCCAAACAGTGGCTCACCTATAATATATGCTCAAAAATTATTTGTTGAGTAAGTGATTAGATGAAGTTTAAATAGTCTCAGATCACCATTCTCATCCTGTTATTGGTTTAGTTTAGGAACTGTCAACCAAGATCTGAAAAGAGACACATTCAGCCATTCCTGGCACCATCCAGACCACTGGTCGTATCCAACCTGCAAGGCCAGGGGGGATAATAATATGTTTTTTCCTGACCCTTTATCCATGCCCATGCATGCCCCAATCATGAAGATCCAGAACAAGCACTATAAGCTTGGAAGCTGAGCAAGGAGCCAGAAAATTGAAAAGAGAAGAATCTGAAAACTTGAAGCACTTTTTAAAAACTGTTATAACTACTCTGGTCACCATCAACATAATATTCCCAAACTCTTTACTGACTGGCAATGAAGTTACTTATTCTTTCTAGACTTTAGTTCCCTAATCAGTTGAGCATAAAACTCAAGGTTGTTATAAGGAATAACTTAAATGTATTGGCAAGCACTAACACAGTGCCTGACATAGATGAGTTATAATATAATAAATGCAAGTTATTAATATTGTCACCATTATTACTGCCAGTCAGAATTTCAAACATAAGTACATATAAAAGCAAGCTACAGTTCACTAGTCAAGCATGAGCTGAAAGACTTTACTGGTACTGGGCCTCAGTTCCTGAAAATACAAACACATGAGCTTGACATTGAAGAACTTCACTTGCCTCACCATGAACATAGCAACCTGACAATGACAGAGCTATTTTGGATGTAGCCCCCAGGGAAAGTTTATCTTATATTTATACTTAAATCAGTATCTCTAAGAAATAAAACCACCAAACCTAAACCTAAATAGATAAAAAAGAAAAGAAAAAAGTTATACATATATTAAGTGTTGTTTTTTTTAAATCTATCCATTTATACCAACTTCTCCATACACAGAAATACTTAGACACTAAAACAAGCAACCTTTTGGTTACTTGCCTGATATAAATAATTATTCACCATTACTGGGTGAATTATGAGTTAACTTGGTGAATGGCTATTCACACGCTGCTAGTAATTTTATTTGGAGGTATAAACATTTAAAACTGAATGCTAAAAATACCTAAAGTAATATATAATTGTGCTAATTTATATAACAAAGCTATATTTTACATGGGGTACATACTCTTTCTATACTAGCCCAAACACACATATCATGTGCAATATAATCTTGTTAAATATCAGTTTCTACAGACAGCGTGTCATTCAAATAATTTGCCAATCTACAACAATTATTCTTTAATTTAAAACATGGTAATTAGGGAGCATTTGAGATCTTGCTTCCCGGAAATTATCATCAGTTTTGGCCCAAATAAACTCATAAAAATTAAAAAAAATTACATTAAATAGATAATATAAAATATAAAACATTATTGAACTAAATAATTCTCTCTGAATTTCAAATTAACCAGGCTTTCTAGTTCTCCACAAGCACAAAAAATACATCTTTTCATTATTTCCTCCTAGCTTCCTTCTCTCTTGTTAATAACTGTATTAGAAAAATTACAGGTTTTGCTCTTGAATAATTTTTTATCATTTCTATGTATTAACTCCTCATTTTATAAAATGTCTCCTTTTTTATCTTTTTTCCTTCCAAGCACCACCTTCCTGCTAGCACCCAACTAGCATAATGATAGTTCCAACCATCCTTAGCTCTCCTCCATGGCCTGCAGAATCTAGCCCTTGGGGAGCCAGAGCAGAGCTTTGTATATCCAGAGGGTAGGATCTTGCTAAACTTTTCCCTTTCTCCACTGTCACCATCCCACCTCCCTGTTTCTGATCTTTCTATCTTGCCTTCCACTCTGTTTCACAGTTCCATGAGATTTCACACTTACTCCTGTGGTCTCCTAGTCCTCACATACATGTACATATCCTCCCTCTTCCCAAGTGAGTTACATATCATTATAAGACCATCAACTTTGGCCCTGACATTGAGTCGTGTATTTTTCCATAGGATCTTCTGGGAGAAGGGACTAGGGGGAGAAAAAAATACTTTCCACTTTTAAAAGATCCCAGAAAGACAATCCTACCTTTCCCAGGATTTGGAGGAAAAGGACTTCCAAACTCCTTCTGCTTTGGCATTAAAGTGTGTGGCCCTGACATGCCTCCGGCCTGGGTGACCTGGAATCGTGACTTCCCATTGGTGAGCACTTGTCTCCTGGGGCTCAAGGCGGGCAGATGGATGGGGCTCTCAGCCATGTTGCTCTGAGGAACCATCCCTCCTCCCAAGGGCATCTTGAGATGGAGACTGTTAGCAAGGCTTCCAATACCAGGGCTTGGTGCGCTGCCACAGGACGAGGGGCCAGGAGTCCCCGAGTGGGCTCGGATGGGAGGAATGTGTTGGCCACTGACCATCCCAGGCCCCTGTGGGGTTCCTGATATCCGGTGGAGATTCATGCTGCATGACCTTCCATTCATTTTGAAAAAACCTGTGGCCAAGATGGTCAAATATCCAATGGCACTAATGACTCCTTTCAGGCAAAGTCCAATAAGTTATCCATGGTGTGGGTTTTTAGCCTGTTTAAAAAAATAAATGCAGGCATTTTTAAAAGTAAAATGGAAAATAAGTTACAGTGAGTTTTCAACCTGTGTAGCTTTCACGTCAGGAAGAAAAGAAGCACTCTTAGCAAAAGGGCCTTTTATGTAGAGCAGGGTCATCAAATACATGGTTCACTGGCGGGCACTTTCCCCTCCTGCATTCATGGTAGGCATGGATTATGGATCACTGCATTGTTTTGTTTGCCATTGAGCCCTTCTCAATATAGTGCTCTTGGCAACTACAACCAACCTACTGGTGCCAGCTTGCAAAATGAAACTTATTTTGCTCCCTAGAGGATCTGTCTGTACTAGTTCACTTCTGCAACAGTGAGTCTTGGAAAACCCAAAAGGCATCACCTTCATGAGCTGTAAGAGCATTGCTTCAGTGATTCCAGTAAACAAACTAATGGCAGATCTGGCCTCTAAATGAGATTATGAGGACATTAAACCACCTCTGATTTTCACTCATAGAGCAAGTATTTCATAGTCCCTAGATTCACAAAAGATAAAAATATGGGCCTGGGACTCTCACAAAGGCCTCATACATCCACATACCCAATATTCAGAGCAGCATTAGAATTTTGGTTCCATACTGACCCTGAGTTATAGAAATGGAAATAGGACAATACTCTCACCTTCCATTAATGTCCTAGAAAAGGAAAAGGCTGTGAAATATGCTTTATAGAAAGTATAAGGAAAGGACAGCCCTTTAAAGGATATGTTCATCATGCACCAAACATGGTAAATCAACCATAGTTCCATAAAGCTTCCATATGCAATCCCACTACCCCCTTTTTCAAGTACCAGAGGAGAACCAAAAGTACTGACATGATCACAGAACATCATCATCCATCTGTATGCAATAATGTCAGTATTCCCTGATTATATTGTTAGGAAAAGCCCTTCTTCCTTGATCAATGGCTCCCCAAAATGTATGTACAATCAATGAGGTGACTAAGTACCACCACTCCTAATGAATGCAGTCTGTTTTCTTTTACATAGACATGACAGTCTTGGAAAAAATCCACAGTTGAACAAACAGAGGAAATATGGACGGAGTATAAGCAGTAGTGGCCAAATATCCCCAACTGAATGATTTCTACTTTTTCTGAAGGACCCACTCAATGTCGTAGACAAATATTTCCAACTCAACTCCCAAATGAATGGCCCCACCAATCATCAAAGACAGAATATCAAGAAAGGCAAACTTTTCTTTTTTTTCTTTTTTTTTTAATATATTTTATTGATTTTTTACAGAGAGGAAGGGGGAGAGATAGAGAGTTAGAAACATCGATGAGAGAGAAACATCGACCAGCCGCCTCCTGCACACCTCCTACTGGGGATGTGCCCGCAACCAAGGTATGTGCCCTTGACCGGGATCGAACCTGGGACCTTTCAGTCCGCAGGCAGACGCTCTATCCACTGAGCCAAACCGGTTTGGCAAGGAAGGCAAACTTTTCATGAATTTTTTTTTTCTTTTATCATTTTAGAAAATCAAAAATATTTCATTTTCAAGTCAAGCACTCACTGTGCCTTCTGCAAAGTTGACTATGTGTGTCCATATGTTAAAGAACTTCAAAAATTACTAACAATATAAAATTGGAAAGGTTCCCCTCATCTCTACCAATTCTCTATTTTATTAAGAATTCTAGCCTTGGTCCATGTAGTTCAGTGGTTAGCGCATCAGCCCATGCACCACAGGGTCACAGGTTCAATTCCTGGTCAAGGGCATGTACCTGGGTTGCAGGTTCAATCTCCAGCCGTGGTCTGGGCAGGTGCAGGAGGCAATCAATTGATGTGTCTCTCTTACATCAATGTTTCTCTTCCCCCACCCCACCCCAACTCTCTCTAAAAAGCAATGGGAAAAGTATCCTTAGAAGAAGATTGAAGAACAAAGAATTCTATCAGTCTGTCACATTTAATACTTCCATGCCATGTAGTCCTCAGAGACACTTCTAGGTCTTGTTCCTGCCCTTCCCTTCACTACAGTTTTCGAGAATGAACAAATATGTCCAGGCTTATCCAAACCTGTATCATTTAAGTTCATTATGAATAATAAGCAATGAACCCTGATATCAGGCCAGTTGTAAGATTTCTTTTTTTTTTTACATTGGAAAAATTCCAATGCCTTTTTTGCTATATCTATTTATAAGAATTCAAATGTATTACCAGCTGCTCTATTGATTTATTGGTTGATTGTGAATAAGAATCATTTAATTTCTCTATGCTTTGCCAGATTATAGTAGCCATCTATTCTCCACTCATTGATAAAAACTATTTTCTGAGCACTCTGAATCCTGCATAAGAAAGCACTTATTTTCACACACACACACACACACACACACACACACACACACACACACACAAGGCAAGATAAATACGTTGTATTGGCAACTTGTTAAAAATGATGAATTATCCAACATGACTGGGAATATGAGTCACTAAGACTATGGTCCAAGTGACCAATGTCTGCAGATTTGCAGACTATGCCCATTTCCAAGTTTTTAAAAATAAGGGAGTAATTTTTGGCAGCAAGATCACAACAAGCAGAAATTATCATCAAAAAATATGGATAAAACACGTAAGTAGGTACTTGGCATTAGACTTGATCATTATTAAGGTTAAGTTTGTGAAAAGTAAGATTAATTAAAACACCGAAAACTTAATTATCAGACATACATTCCTGCCTGTCAGATTGGATATTTATTTTATTCTTTTATATACTATACTCCTGTTTTAAATAGCTTTAGGTTGAAAATAAAAACAACAAAACTACTTAAATTTTGTAACTAAAAAAGTAACAGCCTAAAAGTAATGTGATTAATACCATAAAGGACAACCAAGAAGTCAATGGCATGTGCGCTGAAAAAAAGAGTCTCAAGACAAAAATAAAATAAATTGTATGTGAAAATATGCCTATTGTTTTCACATTAATCATACCAACTGATTTGTCAAGCATTAAATTTAAAAGTCAATTTTGTCTATTCATATTCTAATATTTTATATACTTTTTAGCTAGGCCATATGATCATGTACAATTCTAAATCCACTTGGTAACAAAAAAAGGAATAAACTGCTAACTTTTAAGAAAGACACATCCTCATTGAGTCAGAGTGAAAAGAGCATTCAACCAGAAGTCAGGTCACCTGAGTTCTACTACTGGCAAATCATTTATGACTTCCCTGGACTTACAGTTTTCATCCATAAAATGAGGAAGTTGATGATAATCATTACAGTCTCTAGAAATTCTGTTCTCCCAGATAATTAAGATAAGGAAGATTATAAAAAATACCCATTTACTATGATCAGAAATAAATATGTAGATTTTATACCCATGGCACTTAAATTGGGAGACATGGAAGCAAAAATAGTACCTACCCGCTCCATCAAAGTAAGAGTTGATAGGAGGCTCTCATGCCATCAATGTGCTGAAAGACAACACTTACCATAAAAAGATGGATATTAGGATTAAATTTTGCCAACTAATAAGTATCAAAACCTAACTGGTAGGAAGATTCCATTGGAAGAGTACCTTTCTATTTAAAAACTTATCAAGTTCTCCAGCATTACTTTTCTTCTGGCCTCCCTCCAACTACACTACCCCAAGGTATCAACAGAAATAAAAGAAGAAAAAAGCAAAATTAATGTACTGAAAATCGGATATATTGATACATTTAGATGTTTAATACTCCATTGGTTCAAACAATAAAAACATTCATTCGGCTACAGGAGTCAACATGAGTTAATAGATCTTCACTTTTGACCACTGTCAAACTCAAAAACACTACTGTAAGTCAAGTCAGAGAAAAAAAGTACTTTGCTTCTAAGGAAAATAAGACACAAAACCATTTAATAATTTCTCTAGTTTTCTGGGAAACTTGTGACTTGAATCAAATCACAAAAATCATTTCTCTATCTTCTAAAACCAAGGCTTAGGCACTTTCTCATGGATTAAAAGATTAAACAAACAAAAAGCAATGTTAACTCATCCATTCAAGAAAATTCTCAAAACATGAGCTCTATAATGCCTATTTACAGCCAAAAGCCCTTTCTTAGTAAATATCATTAATAAACTCATCTAGACTCATAATTCATCTGATGAGCCAGTTAATTATTAATTTTCATACATCATTTCATTTCCTTAGGCTACATTTAGCCTTTGTTTTATTTTCCATTCCTTATGCTACAAGCATTTCTTACCCTGCCTGGAAAACCTGATCTTGAGGCACAAAATACTGGTAAGCACACAAACTGCTCCTGCGCTGGTTTCTTATACATATGTCTAAGCCATCTAAAGTAGAGTTTTTATTGATTCTTTTTATTTTTCCCCCTTTGGGTTAATGATTGTATAATTTCATTAACATTGCCTTTTCAACATCACTGCCTTGATCATTAATAGGCCCATGCTATTCCCATGGGCTTCTCTAGTTACAGCTTTTGTAGCCAGAAGAATATAGAAATGAAAAGCCTATTGATAGATAATATAAGTTATTCTCATGCACGGCTGCCGTGTGAAGCACATTTTGCAATTCAATCAAGGACAGATAGAGCTGAATGTTCTTAGATCCCAGGAGTTCATTTTAATAAGCAGAATGTACCTTGTCCTAACACAGGTGACTGACTCCTCAGAAAAGATTGTATAAACAAAAGCCAATCGTGTTAGTCATTTTATTGGCAACAATATAAACACAGCTATATTAGATGTCACCAATAAATCAAAATTATTCTTGTCTGCAATTTTAACAAGAGGAAAGTGCAAACATAAGCCTGTGAAGCTGGAGGATATTATAGAGGAAATGCATTGGATAGGTACAATATCTTTTCTCTATATTGAAAGAGAGGGTACTATATTATGATTAACCCACAACAAAGTATAGTTGATCATTTCTGTGGTTTCATAACTTTATTCAGTGAAACTGACAGATTCACAGACTTTAGAACAGAAGTTACACAGAAACAGGGCTAGGATAATTCCACAT